ATGTGATTTAAACCTGCTTTTAAATGGGCCAAACCCGGTCTCTGGTGATGGAACCATCACACTTTAAACCAACTAGGGCCATCAAAATCATTTTGTTCAACTGTGCACCATGCTCTCATAGAACCTACCACTGGCCATTTCCTGATTAGGTTGTCTTGATAGAAGGTTAAATCCTTAGAAACCTGCCCAGTGTTGAGAGCAATTGTTTGACGTACTGTACAGTAGACCAACATAGCTACAGTACTGGTAGCAGGTGTCAACGCTGGTGTGGGCTAGAAAGCCTTGTTAGTGCGTAGGTCAGTAGAAAGTTGAGGGTGTTCATGTAGAATTCTCTCTAATCTGCTATTGACAAACTTTACTTCACTTCAAGTTTCCCTGTCATCCAACACAGAATGTCCAATAAAATATTCACACATGGATTCAACCATCCAGCATTACATTCCAAACTGTTCTACTAACCATACAACAACATCCCAAATAAAAACACAACAAATACTCTCTGACACAACAAATTGTGTACCTCAGTATTATCTTTTCCTAGTGATTGACGGGAAGTAAAGAGGTGCTGTGGTGTCCCAGGTGGATTGGGTTTGTTTCCCAGGAGGTTGGGGTGTGTCTTAAGCTAAACTGACAGGGGAGGTGAGAGACAGCACTAGAAACTTAGTAAAGGAGGAGAAAGGAAAACCCAGGAACATTTGGTAGGTGGCTGTGTCCGTCTGTCTGTCTGAAAAAGTTATTCCGTTTTGCCATCCGTCTACTGAACTGTGAACTTTGTGTTATTTTGTGTGTATCAGCTTTTTGCTTCATCATCTCTTACACAGTGCATTAGGTTGGTTTGCCAGCTGCAGTTAAAATGGGCTTATCAGCTGATGTGTGTGTGGTATCGGGTTTCCCCTAGCGGGTGTGTCTATACAGATGGACAGGTGTGAGATGCCAGCTTGCATGTACTACTGGGGGCAGGGAGAGGGGGATGGAGAGGGGGATCTCCTCTCCTCCTTTCAATTTAAAAAGGAGGGATAATTAAGAACCACGACAGCTTGCGTTAATGAGCGGCATTTGGAGTTCGGCTTGCTGTTTTTTCCTTTTCTGTAGCTCTACGTGATTGACGGACCTGGGATAAAACACCATTCGAAATCATTGCAAATACACTCAACAAAAATATAAACGCAACATTAAAGTGTTGGTTCCCATGTTTCATGAGCTGAAATAAAACATCCCAGAAATGTTCCATTTGAACAAAAAGCTTATTTCTCTGAAATGTTGTGCACAAATTTGTTTACATCCCAAGATAATCCATCCACCTGACAGGAATGGCATATAAGAAGCTGATTAAACAGCATGATCATTACAACAGGTGCACCTTGTGCTGGGGACAATAAAAGGCCACTCTAAAATGTGCAGTTTTGTCACACAACATATTGCCACATATGTCTCAAGTTTTGAGGCAGCGTGCAATTGGGATGCTGACTGCAGGTATGTCCACCAAAGCTGTTGCCAGATAATTTAATGTTAATTTTCTCTACCATAAGCCTCCTCCAACGTCGTTTTAGAGAATTTGGCAGTACGTCCAATCGGCGTCACAAACGCAGATCACATGTAACCACACCAGCCCAGGACCTCCACATCCAGCTTCTTCACCTGTGGGATCTTCTGAGACCAGCCACCCGGACAGCTGATGAAACTGTGGGTTTGCACAACCAAATAATTTCTGGACAAACTGTCAGAAACCGTCTCAGGGAAGCTCATCTGCGTGCTCTTCGTCCTAACCAGAGTCTTGACCTGACTGCAGTTCGGCATTGTAACCGACTTCAGTGGGGAAATGCTCACCTTCGATGGCCACTGGCATGCTGGAGAAGTGTGCTCTTCACGGATGAATCCCGGTTTCAACTATACCGGGCAGATGGCAGACAGCGTGTATGGCATTGTGTGGGCGAGCGGTTTGCGGATGTCAACGTTGTGAACAGAGTGCCGCAAGGTGGCGGTGGGGTTATGATATGGGCAGGCATAAGCTATGGACAACGAACACAGTTGCATTTTATCGATGACAATTTGAATGCAGAGATACCGTGACGATATCCTGAGGCCCATTGTCGTGCCATTCATCCGCCACCATCACCTCATGTTTCAGAATTATAATGCAGGCCCCATGTCGCAAGGATCTGTACACAATTCCTGGAAGCTGAAAATGTCCCAGTTCTTCCATGGCCTGCATACTAACCAGACATGTCACCCATTGAGCATGTTTGGGATGCTCTGGATCGACGTGTACGACAGCGTGTTCTAGTTCCCCCGCTAATATCCAGCAACTTCGCACAGCTATTAAAGAGGAGTGGGACAACATTCCATTGGCCACAATCAACAGCCTGATCAACTTTATGCGAAGGAGATGTATCGCGCTGCATGAGGCAAATGGTGGTCACACCAGATACCTGTCACGCCCTGGCTCGGGGGACTCTCGTATGTTGAGCCAGGGTGTTAGTTTCTATGTTTTGTTGTGGGTTCTAGGTTATTGTATTTCTTTGTTTGAGTGACTCCCAATCAGAGGTAACGAGTGTCAGCTGTTGGCTCGTTGTCTCTGATTGGGAGCCATATTTAACTATCTGTCTTTCACGTTGTGTTTGTGGTTTCTTGTTCATTTCGGTTCGTGTTAAACCGTAGACGTCACGTTTTCGTTTGTGTTTTTGATCGTGTGATCATTTATAGTAATAAAATATGTTCACCTTCAACGCTGCGCATTGGTCCTCTATGTTAGACGATCGTGACAATACCCCTACTTTTTTAAAGGTATCTGTGACCAACAGATCCATATCTGCATTCCCAGTCATGTGAAATCCATAGACTAGGGCCTAATTAATTTATTTCAATTGACTGATTTCCTTATATGAACTGTAACTCTGTAAAATATTTGAAATTGTTGCATGTTGCGTTTATATTTGTGTTCAGTGTAGTTTAGTTGGGCTTGATTGATTTTTCCTGTTGTACTGGAACCAATAGAAAAGTCCCAGGAGTCAACACTGACAACACTAGCCTCCTCTCCACTAGCACTAATGCTGACAATACTAGCCTCCTCTCCACTAGCGCTAATGCTAACAATACTAGTCTCCTCTCCACTAGCCCTAACGCTAACAATACTAGCCTCCTCTCCACTAGAGCTAATGCTAACAATACTAGTCTCCTCTCCACTAGCGCAAATGCTGCTAACAATAGTAGTCTCCTCTCCACTAGCCCTAATGCTAACAAACGTGGTTTTGTTCCTCTGTGACATGACATCCACCCCCTCCTACTGCTTTCCTCAGTCATCCTGTTCATTCTCTCCCAACCACCTCCTCTCCTTTGTTCACACTCATTCCTCCGCCTCCTCTCCCCTTTCATCCCATTCCCTTCCAACTAAAGGCTACAACAAAGGTTCAAATTCAAGTTATCGATCAGCTTGTCAAGTTCCTGAACGCCTGTGAAAGACTAGACCAGTCAGAAGATGTAGAACCACTGATACCCAAATGCTTCACAGGCCCAGGTTAAGCCTGCTCCTAGACATAAAAGCACTTTCAAAAGAGACTCTCCATTGGAAGTGCTTTTGAGTCCAGGAGTAGGCTTAACCTGAGCATGGGAAATAAAGGTCTGGGTCTTTGACAAGTGTGTGTGTGTGTGTGTGTGTGTGTGTCCGTTAGTGTTGCACGGTATACTGATACTAGAATGGTTCGGTAATATAATTTTTGTTACTTTCGGTACTTCTGTCAAGTCTGTCTATCAGCGCAGCCGATGTCCCCTTAGAGCGCTAGAGCACCGTGCCTGCTCCACTTACTAATTGCTAGCTCTAGCCTTTCCTGAGGAACCACTGAACTAACTGGGAGTCTGGCTGCATCAACACTTATCCTGAACAGAACTTAACACACACGTCAAAATGTTGCAACTGTTAATTACTGTTCGCAAAACAATGTCTAGAACAATTTACAATGCAAGAACATACCGATAGCATCCAGCTTTGTAGGGTAACATTCCTTGCTAGTTTACAGCTGAAGCCAACATCAATTCACTACCCTAGTACCTTGTTTGTGATAATTTGCAAACCATATCGCTAAATATTGCTGATTACGAAGCTGATTGTCACCAAAATCGTTATTAATTAACTTCGTTTCCCCCTCCACACCTCTCCCCCAGTCAAGAACATCTTTGCTTGAGCCTAGAAAGAACTTTGTGTGTGAATGACATCATCGGTCTTAAAGAGATAGTGCACACTTGTATAAAATAAGATATTGCTTCTTCTATGCAAATGTTGTTGATCAGTACAATACAATAAGTCCCAAATGGAAAGGAAACAGATCGTTTTTCATCTGTAGCCTCATGAAATCAGCAAAAACAATCTTAATAACTCAATGCATGCACACACTCCTATTGAATATGCATTCACCTGTAATGTGAATAGGCCTAGGCAACATCTTGATTTACCCAGATTATTAATAGAGATTTACCATTCAAATAAATGATTACCATTATGTTGTTACGTAGATTGGTAAAAAAAATAATATTGAGTCATTGATGCACACATTCAAAAATCAAACATTTCAAATGTAATGATATTGAACTCAAAAGATCTGTCTGGATCAAGTGCCATTCATTTGGCTAATACGCTTTTTTTTTTTTTTTGCCGTGGTATCGTTTTGGTATTGTTTTGGTATCAAGTATTGTGATGGTATTGAGTATCATGATACTAAACCTTCTATTGAAGTAAAAATGCAGGTATCGTGACAACACTAGCGTCCTGCGTGCATGCCTGTGTGTGTGTGACATACATCTGTGTATCTATGTATCTGACATAAGCCAAAGCTGACCTGACGCAAATACGACAGCTTGCGCTATCGGAAACCAGGGTCTCAGTGTGTGTCTCTGTGCATCTCCCCCTCTCAGTAGGACTTAACACTGGCACCTCATCGATTTGCTGGCGCCGGTATCTTTTGGCCACTGTCACTTACTTGGCTTGGCTAAAATACGGCTAACATCTCCTAAGCCTCCAAGCCCTCGTAAATGTGCTGTGGATAATGGAGAATCATGACCCAGTAATAGGTCTGTATAACGGGGAGCTGTACCGACTAGGGCCCTGGAGGTCTGCTACCCCCATATGTCACACAGAGGAAAACCCCAAATAGACAGTACAAACTACATATGATGTTCAGGCAGCTTCCATTTGAAGTCGGCCATTTTACGTTTCACACTACATAGTATTGGTCTGTGGGAAAGGGAATATTATTGCATTCGAAATTGCTTCTCCCTGTATGGTGCAGTGGTCTAAGGCATTGCATCGCAGTGCTAGCTGTGCCACTAGAGATCCTGGTTCGAATCCAGGCTCTGTCGTAGCCGGCCGTGACCGGGAGACCCATGGGGCGGCGCACAATTGGTCCAGGGTAGGGGAGGGAATGGCCGGCAGGGATGTAGCTCAGTTGGTAGAGCATGGCGTTTGCAACGCCAGGGTTGTGGGTTCGTTTCCCACGGGGGGGTATGAAAAAAATAAATAATGTATGCACTCACTAACTGTAAGTAGCTCGGGATAAGAGCGTCTGCTAAATGACTAAAATGTAAAATTAGCTATTCAATACACACACAGAGCGTTCACAAACGTAAGCACATACAGCCTCCCTTTTGCTGAAACACACAATTACACAACTACATTCACCAGGCCTCCCTAAAACCGACACATAGTCACACATACTTTATTGGGTGTATATGCTAAACTTTTCTCTCTTCCTAAGGCACACACACCTCCATGGTCTACAAAATACCGTCCTTTACAAAAGATTAGAGAGAGAGAGAGAGAGAGAGGGAAAGTGAGAGAGGGAAAGTGAGGATGAGAAAGAGAGAGAGAAGAAGATCTCATAGTATAGAGATAGAGATCGAGAGAGCTATCGCGGAGATCGTTCGTATCGAGGAACTTGCTCGAGGCACGTGAGCTATCTCGCGCTCGCTAGCTCTTTCGCTCTCTAGTCTCCGCTCTCTCCTGCTCTCTCTCTCTCTCGTCCCTTTCGGCTCTCTCTCTCTCTCTCTCTCCTCTCTCTCTCTCTCTCCTCTCTCTCTCTTCTTATCCCTTTCGCTCTGGCCTTCTTTCTCTCTCTCTCTCTTCCTCTCTCTCTCTCTCTATCCTCTCTGCTCTCTCTCGCTCTCCCCTCTCTCTCTCTCTCTCGCTCTCTCTCTCGCTCTTTCCCCTTCTCTCTGTCCCTTTCTCTCTCGCACTCCTCTCTCCTCTCCTCTCCTCCTCTCTCTCTCTCTCGCTCTTTTCCCCCCCTTCTCTCTTCCCTCTCTCTCCTCCCTCCTTCTCTCTCTCTCTCTCTTCCCCCCCTCTCTCCCTTTCCCTCCTTCCCCCTTTTCTCCTTTCTCGCTTTCCCCCTTTCCCTTCTCCTCTCTCTCTCTTCCTTCCCCTTTTCCCTTTTTCTCCTTGTTCCCCCCCCCTTTTGCTCCTCAAAAAAAAAGGATTTTTCCCAGGGGCCAGAAAAACCCCCTTTTTGGGCCGAGCTCGGGGGTATTTTTTTGCCCATTTCTGTCCCCCCGGGGAAAATGATGGGATGAGAGGACGGTATTTTATACAAACGAAAACACGACAGAACCAGATACACAAACCACACAAAAGGGGGACACCCCCAAAACACCCCTAGAGGGACAAAAAACACACACAAAACCCCCAAAAAACCACAACAGGAACTCTCTGTATCAGAATTTTTTGGTGGATGGGGGGATTACAAAAGGCTAGGAGAAAGAAAAGGGGGAAGAGAGGAAGAGAAGAGAGAGATAGAGAGGATATATAGAGAGAGAGAGATAGAGAGAGAAGAGAGAGAGAGAGAGAGAGAGAGATGAGAAGAGAGATGAGAGAGAGAAAAGAGCACGAGAGAGAGAGTGGTATTCTTACATTAACACTGCGCAAGGCTGTGTGTGTGTGTATGTGTGTGTGTTGTCGTTTTGTCATTTTGTGTTTGTGTATTTTGTTGTGTTTGTGTATCTCTGTATGTGTGTGTCTGTGTACAGTATTGATGCGTACCATTTGTCTGTGTGTGATTGTGTTTGTGTGTATCTCTTTATGTGTGCATTTCTTTATCTGTGTGTGTCAATCTGTGGGCATCTCTGTATGTATGTATGTATGTATATGTGTGTGTGTGCGTGTGTGTGTGTGTGTGTGTGTGTGTGTGTGTGTGTGTGTGTGTGTGTGTGTGTGTGTGTGTGTGTGTGTGTGTGTGGTGTGTGTGTGTGTGTGTGTGTGTGTGTGTGTGTGTTTGCGTGTGTGTGAGAGCCAGTAGAAAGACATTCCTGTTCATATGTGAAGCAGGCTCACAGTGTGGGAGGCAGCGTGGGCACCAGCCTGGAATAATAAGGAGACTACAGGAAACACCACACAGAGACAAGAGATAGAGGTGTGTGTGTGTCCAGCCAAAATAACACAGACAGTGAGCAGACCATTGAGGGCAGAGGAAACAGGTGGGGCAATGTGACCACAGGTGTGACACACAGATCATGGTGTGTGTGTGTGTGTGTGTGTGTGTGTGTGTGTGTGTGTGTGTGTGTGTGTGTGTGTGTGTGTGTGTGTGTAGAGGGTTAGTATATAGGGCTAGGACGATTCCAGTATTGCGATACTTCTTAATATCGTGGCAAGGAAACAAAACACTAAGCCAATTTGACTTCTTTAGGAAAACTGCCCTAATGTTGGAAACAAACATCATTATGTTGTCATCCGGAGTCACATGTATTTATTTTCCAAGCTTTAGAACACAATATTTTACAAACAGCAGATTTTTAAAGGACCAAACAGTCTGGTCTGCTTTGTGTTTTCATTTTTGCCATGGAAACAATATCGCAATCATCACAACCCTACTAGTATATCAGTTGGCTCTGACTCAATTCTGACCTGGAGCAGATGGACAACCAAAATACACCCTGGGGAGACCCAGCTAACCACAGGTGTACCCAGCTAACCACAGGTATACCCAGCTAACCACTGGTGTATCCAGCTAACCACTGGTGTACGGCACAGGTGTACGGCCATTCATTTATCCAGGATGAATAACGTCACATCTTATTGGTCCTGTAGACCAGACCGTCTAACATTGCAAGCTTTGATTGGATAAAAAAGCTCTCTCTTGGAACTGGTCAAAATAAAGCGACAGCTAGGCCTATTTGTAAACAAACACAAACTGCCTCAGATAAATACATGTTTATCTTTGATATGCTGGCCATATAGAAGACTCAGTCTCTCAAAAGTTGAACGTTGGAACATAAATCTAAATGTTGGATACAGCTGATGGTTATAGTCTATACTATAAAGTATAATACATTATATTATATGACTATAGCATATTAATTGCCTCTGTATGTTGACACACAGACATGACTGTGAAGTTGTCCACAGGGCAAGCTTTGGAAATGGTTTAGTCTAGTGAATGTTGTAGCTCAGGCGTCGTGATTCCTCTCCCTAGGTTATATAATATCATTCTGACAAGGGCCTTAGATGCTGTCTGATGTGAGCAACAAGGCAGTCTCATACAGTAGTGTCTGCATTGCAGCAGTGTCATACGTCAAGTTACTGAGTGGACTATAAATATAATAAAATAAAAATGATTTGAAATGAATAAACTGCATATTGTTATTCTAGACCAGGACTAACACACCTGATTCAACTAGTTCACTAATCACAGAGCCCTTGAGGTGTGTTAGTGCTGGGCTGGAACAAAAATGACAGGGAAGAGGTTTTAAAGTGTTGTGCTGGGCAGAAGCCATTTCAGAGACAGAATCAATGTATTTTATGCTTGGGGAGAGCTAGAATAAATATTGTCAAACAGTAGAGCCAGAACAGCCAGAGGTCCTTGAGAACAACATCCAAACTACTAAAGAACAGATGCGATGATGGGTACAAGAGAAATAAAAAGAGGGAGAGAGAGACAGAGGGGTGGAGAGAGAGAGGAAGAGAGAGAGAGAGCAAGAGGGGAGAGAGAGAGGGCGGGAGAGAAAGAGAGAGAGAGAGAGAGAGAGAGAGAGAGAGAGAGAGGAGAGAGAGAGAAAGACAGCATTTTTAACAAAAAATATAGATTTAGTGTTAGATAAAGTAGGATTTTTTTTGGCAGGGACATATACAGGATGCTACCCTCCACAACATAACCTTCATTCCAAACCAAAACTCCAAACCTACAACCTGATTTTGGACGGAATTACCTGGAAGGCTTTCTACTACCAAGGATTACTATTCCCAAACTATACAGCAAATGCTCTGGCAAACAAACATAAACCTGAAAACACCATCCAACCTGGAACTGAGTGAGTAATGTTTAGTATGAAGCTATTGAGCCCAACAATGGCAGGAGAGTCGCACAGTCTACCCCAACCAAATGGAGAGGCCTTAGAAGCACCCCCCCCCCCCCCCCCCCCCCCCCCCCCCCCCCCCCCCCCCCCCCCCCCCCCCCCCCCCCCCCGCTGTTCAGAGGTCATTAAAATACAGTACCCTCTGAATGTAAAAAAGACACGAAAAGAGTACAAAATGAAACTCCTTTTGGGGATTCAGGAGACACTTTTTGCTGATTTTTATAAAAATGGGAACATAAGCAATCTTATCTCCAACACAGACCATCCCCTGGCATGGCACAGTGCTATACTAGCACACTACCCCTCTGTTAAGAGGGGGGGTATTAGCGATGGGTGGAAACTCAGGATACTGGACAACGAGGACTCTGAGTCGTCTAATATTAATCACTATAAATCTGGAACCGTTTTGGTTCAAGGCAGCACCAAACAGTTCCAGCTGGACTTTCACCTAATCAAAGAAATAGCTCAGCAGGAGAAGCTCTCCCTTGAGAAAGATACCCCAACCCCGAGCGGGTCAGACCAGACCTCTTCATTAAATCACCCCACAGAGCAACCCCAAGCAGAAAGTCAACTTCCCAGCACAGAGTACTACTCCCTCATTGAAATGAAGGATAAATTCACCCAGCTGGAGGTAAGGCAGGTGGAGCTGGAACAGCAGGTGAACACACTCCAGTCAGCACAGACCCATACAACAGTCCAGCACAACAACACCCCCTTAACTAGACCTGGAGAGCTGGAGGTAGAGAGAGACATGTCTGCACTCTGGACTGTGGTGAGACAACATCAACAGGAGAAAGAGAAGGAGCAGGAGCAGGAGAAGAACAGAGCACTAGAGGAGAGGACCAGAGTGCTGGAGGAGAAGGGGAGAACGATGACGGGTGACATAAAACAACCCATTAGAGAGCTGGCCACCCCCGCAGAGAAGCCAGCAGAACAGCCCACCTCAGATCCTGGACAAAGTCTCGACACCGCAGCAGAACAGTACACCCTAGACCCTGACCATAGCCTCTACATCACAGCCAGACAAACAAATGAAGAACCCCAAGCCCTGGGGACCCCTCTGAGCAACCCCCTTGTCAGACACCCTGATAGCCCTCATGATGACCCCCCAACACACACTGAGGACATACACAAGCAACAGATTGTACTCCTTATGGACTCAAACGAGAAATACATACAAGAAAATAAACTTTTTCCAAAACACACAGTGTCTAAACTCTGGTGTCCAAACACCCAGCGCGCCCTAGACCTTCTGTCTGAGGACCGACTAGGATCACCCAGCCACATAATGATACACACAGGCACAAACGACATGAGAACACAGCAGGAAAGGGTGGCCACAGCACTCAAGGGAGTGATAGAAAAAGCTTCTTCTACTTTCCCCAACGCACAAGTGGTTATCTCAACCCTGTTACCACGAAAAGACTTCCACCCTGCTACCATACAGCAGGTAAACGCAATAATTTACCGTGACTGTGCATCAAAACCAAATGTCTACCTGGCCCACCACTCCACCCTGGACGTGAACAGCCTTTATGACCAGGTCCACCTATACAAGGCAGCAGTGCACACCTTCGCCCGGACCCTAAAGGATATCGCCCTCAACCGCAGACCCAACACCTCACACAGGAACAACAGATCAACAGACACCCCGCCCAGACCAGCGAGACACTCTCCCAGACCTGCGGGACCCACCCCAGGACCTACACATAGAGGACCCCCACAGAGAGGACCTACATCCAGACCACAGCACCATTAGCCACATCTACACCCCCACCCCCACCAATTAACTCCCCCCCAAGTCAACCATGCCCACACCCCATTTAGGCCCCCTCAGATCAGACCTATGCCCCTCCTACCCACCCCAAGCCCCCCACTCCCACAAAGAGGGCCTCAACATGAAAGTCACACATACGCCCAGGCCGTGAGCAGGCAAACAGGCCCAACACCCACTCTTACACTAGCCCAAGTCAATGGCATGTACCAGATGCTCAGCAGGCTCTGCTCACAATTACTGGCCAGAGGCCAAACCACACAACCAACAACATTAGACACTTTATGGAACACAAAGCCTTCACTATTTCATCCTGGAATATCCAAGGCCTGAGGTCATCTGCCTTTGACCTAAAGAGCAGGAATCTGGACTTCACCAAAGAAATCGGAAATACAGACATTGTCATCCTACAAGAAACATGGTATAGAGGAGACGGACCCACTGGTTGCCCTCTAGGTTACAGAGAGCTGGTAGTCCCATCCACCAAACTACCAGGTGTGAAACAGGGAAGGGACTCAGGGGGTATGCTAATTTGATATAGAGCAGACCTAACTCACTCTATTAAATTAATCAAAACAGGAACATTTTACATTTGGTTAGAAATTCAAAAGGAAATTATCTCAACATAGAAAAATTTCCTCCTGTGTGCTACCTATATCCCCCCACTAGAATCCCCATACTTTAATGAAGACAGCTTCTCCATCCTGGAGGGGGAAATCAATCATTTCCAGACCCAGGGACATGTACTAGTCTGTGGCGACCTAAATGCCAGAACTGGACAATAACCTGACACCCTCAGCACACAGGGGGACAAACACCTACCTGGAGGTGACAGCATTCCCTCCCCCATATGCCCCCCTAGGCACAACTACGACAACATAACCAACAAAAACGGGTCACAACTCCTGCAGCTCTGTCGCACACTGGGTATGTACATAGTCAATGGTAGGCTTCGAGGGGACTCCTATGGTAGGTACACCTATAGCTCATCTCTTGGCAGTAGCACTGTAGACTACTTTATCACTGACCTCAACCCAGAGTCTCTAAGAGCGTTCACAGTCAGCCCACTGACACCCCTGTCAGACCACAGCAAAATCATAGTCTACTTGAACAGAGCAATACTCAATCATGAGGCATCAAAGTCAAAGGAACTGAATAATATTAAGAAATGCTATATATGGAAGGAATGTAGTGTTGAAACCTACCAAAAAACAATTAGGCAACAACAAATTCAATCCATTCTAGACAACTTCCTGGACAAAACGCTCCACTGTAATAGTGAAGGTGTAAACTTGGCAGTAGAAAACCTAAACAGTATATTTGACCTCTCAGCTTCCCTATCAAATCTAAAAATCTCTAACAGAAAACTGAAGAAAAGTAACAACAGTGATAAATGGTTTGGTGAAGAATGCAAAAACCTAAGAAAGAAATTGAGAAACCTATCCAACCAAAAACATAGAGACCCAGAAAACCTGAGCCTACGCCTTCACTATGGTGAATCACTAAAACAATACAGAAATACACTATGGAAAAAGAAGGAACAGCATGTCAGAAATCAGCTCAATGTAATTAAAGAATCCATAGACTCTAACCACTTCTGGGAAAATTGGAAAACACTAAACAAACAACAACACAAAGAGCCATCTATCCAAAACGGAGATGTATGGGTAAACCACTTCTCCAATCTTTTTGGCCCTATAACAGAACAAACAGCAAAAAAATATACATGATCAAATGCAAATCTTAGAATCAACTATTAAAGACTACCAGAACCCACTGGATTCTCCAATTACATTGAATGAACTACAGGACAAAATACAAACCCTCCAACCCAAAAAGGCCTGTGGTGTTGATGGTATCCTCAATGAAATGATTAAATATACAGACCACAAATTTCAATTAGCTATACTTAAACTCTTTAACATCATCCTTAGCTCTGGCATCTTCCCCAATATTTGGAACCAAGGACTGATCACCCCAATCCACAAAAGTGGAGACAAATTTGACCCCAATAACTACCGTGGGATATGCGTCAACAGCAACCTTGGGAAAATCCTCGGCATTATCATTAACAGCAGACTAGTTCATTTCCTCAGTGATAACAATGTACTGAGCAAATGTCAAATTGGCATTTTACCAAATTACCGTACGACAGACCACGTATTCACCCTGCACACCCTAATTGACAAACAAACAAACCAAAACAAAGGCAAAGTCTTCTCGTGCTTTGTTGATTTCAAAAAAGCGTTTGACTCAATTTGGCATGAGGGTCTGCTATAAAAATTGATGGAAAGTGGGGTTGGGGGAAAAACATACGACATTATAAAATCCATGTACACAAGCGGTTAAAATTGGCAAAAAACACACACATTTCTTTCCACAGGGCCGTGGGGTGAGACAGGGATGCAGTTTTAGACCTACCCTCTTCAACATATACAGTGGGGAGAACAAGTATTTGATACACTGCCGATTTTGCAGGTTTTCCTACTTACAAAGCATGTAGAGGTCTGTAATTTTTATCATAGGTACACTTCAACTGTGAGAGACGGAATCTAAAACAAAAATCCAGAAAATCACATTGTATGATTTTTAAGTAATTAATTTGCATTTTATTGCATGACATAAGTATTTGATACATCAGAAAAGCAGAACTTAATATTTGGTACAGAAACCTTTGTTTGCAATTACAGAGATCATACGTTTCCTGTAGGTCTTGATCAGGTTTGCACACACTGCAGCAGGGATTTTGGCCCACTCCTCCATACAGACCTTCTCCAGATCCTTCAGGTTTCGGGGCTGTCGCTGGGCAATATGGACTTTCAGCTCCCTCCAAAGATTTTCTATTGGGTTCAGGTCTGGAGACTGGCTAGGCCACTCCAGGACCTTGAGATGCTTCTTATGGAGCCACTCCTTAGTTGCCCTGGCTGTGTGTTTCGGGTCGTTGTCATGCTGGAAGACCCAGCCACGACCCATCTTCAATGCTCTTACAGAGGGAAGGAGGTTGTTGGCCAAGATCTCGCGATACATGGCCCCATCCATCCTCCCCTCAATACGGTGCAGTCGTCCTGTCCCCTTTGCAGAAAAGCATCCCCAAAGAATGATGTTTCCACCTCCATGCTTCACGGTTGGGATGGTGTTCTTGGGGTTGTACTCATCCTTCTTCTTCCTCCAAACACGGCGAGTGGAGTTTAGACCAAAAAGCTATATTTTTGTCTCATCAGACCACATGACCTTCTCCCATTCCTCCTGTGGATCATCCAGATGGTCATTGGCAAACTTCAGATGGGCCTGGACATGCGCTGGCTTGAGCAGGGGGACCTTGCGTGCACTGCAGGATTTTAATCCATGACGGCGTAGTGTGTTACTAATGGTTTTCTTTGAGACTGTGGTCCCAGCTCTCTTCAGGTCATTGACCAGGTCCTGCCATGTAGTTCTGGGCTGATCCCTCACCTTCCTCATGATCAGTGATGCCCCACGAGGTGAGATCTTGCATGGAGCCCCAGACCGAGGGTGATTGACCGTCATCTTGAACTTCTTCCATTTTCTAATAATTGCACCAACAGTTGTTGCATTCTCACCAAGCTGCTTGCCTATTGTCCTGTAGCCCATCCCAGCCTTGTGCAGGTCTACAATTTTATCCCTGATGTCCTTACACAGCTCTCTGGTCTTGGCAATTGTGGAGCGGTTGGAGTCTGTTTGATTGAGTGTGTGGACAGGTGTCTTTTATACAGGTAACGAGTTCAAACAGGTGCAGTTAATACAGGTAATGAGTGGAGAACAGGAGGGCTTCTTAAAGAAAAACTAACAGGTCTATGAGAGCCGGAATCCTTACTGGTTGGTAGGTGATCAAATACTTATGTCATGCAATAAAATGCAAATTAATTACTTAAAAATCATACAATGAGATTTTCTGGATTTTTGATTCTGTCTCTCACAGTTGAAGTGTACCTATGATAAAAATTACAGACCTCTACATGCTTTGTAAGTAGGAAAACCTGCAAAATCGGCAGGGTATCAAATACTTGTTCTCCCCACTGTATATCAACGAATTGGTGAGGCACTAGAACAGTCTGCAGCACCCGGCCTGTTTGCTGATGATCTGGTGCTTCTGTCACCAACCAAGGAGGGCCTACAGCAGCACCTAGATCTTCTGCACAGATTCTGTCAGACCTGGGCCCTGACAGTAAATCTCAGTAAGACAAAAATAATGGTGTTCCAAAAAAGGTCCAGTTGCCAGGACCACAAATACAAATTCCATCTAGACACCGTTGCCCTAGAGCACACAAAAAACTATACATACCTCTGCCTAAACATCAGCGCCACAGGTAACTTCCACAAAGCTGTGAACGATCTGAGAGACAAGGCAAGAAGGGCCTTCTATGCCATCAAAAGCAACATAAATTTTGACATACCAATTAGGATCTGGCTAAAAATACTTGAATCAGTTATAGAACCCATTGCCCTTTATGGTTGTGAGGTCTGGGGTCCGCTCACCAACCAAGAATTCACAAAATGGGACAAACACCAAATTGAGACTTTGCATGCAGAATTCTGCAAAAACATCCTCAGTGTACAACGTAAAACACCATATAATGAATGCAGAGCAGAATTAGGCCAATACCCACTAATTATCAAAATCCAGAAAAGAGCCATTAAATTCTATAACCACTTAAAAGGAAGCGATTCCCAAACCTTCCATAACAAAGCCATCACCTACAGAGAGATGAACTTGGAGAAGAGTCCCCTAAGTAAGATGGTCCTGGGGCTCTGTTCACAAACACAAACAGACCCCACAGAGCCACAGGACAGCAACACAATTAGACCTAACCAAATCATGAGAAAACAAAAAGAGAATTACTTGACACATTGGAAAGAACAAACAAAAAAACAGAGCAAACTAGAATGCTATTTGGCCCTAAACAGAGAGTACACAGTGGCAGAATACCTGATCACTGTGACTGACCCAAACTTAAGGAAAGCTTTGACTATGTACAGACTCAGTGAGCATAGCCTTGCTATTGAGAAAGGCCGCCGTAGGCAGACCTGGCTCTCAAGAGAAGACAGGCTATGTGCACACTGCCCACAAAATGAGGTGGAAACTGAGCTGCACTTCCTAACCTCCTGCCAAATGTATGACTATATTAGAGACACATATTTCCCTCAGATTACAGAGATCCACAAAGAATTCGAAAACAAACCCAATTTTGATAAACTCCTTTATCTACTGGGTGAAAAACCACAGTGTGCCATCACAGCTGCAATATGTGTGACCTGTTGCCACAAGAAAAGGGCAACCAGTGAAGAACAAACACCATTGTAAATACAACCCATATTTATGTTTATTTATTTTCCCATCTGTACTTTAACTATTTGCACATTGTTACAACACTGTATATATACATAATATGACATTTGAAATGTCTTTATTCTTTTGGAACTTCTGAGTGTAATGTTTACTGTTAATATTTATTGTTTATTTAACTTTTGTTTACTATCTACTTCACTTTCTTTGGCAATGTTAATTGAAATTGAATTGAATTGAGAGGGGGTCGAGAGAGAGAGGAAGAGAGAGAGAGAGAGAGGGGAGAGAGAGCGAGAGAGAGAGAGAGAGAGAGAGAGAGAGAGAGAGAGAGAGAGAGCAAGAGGGGAGAGAGAGGGCGGGAGAGAGAGAGAGGGAGAGAGAGAGAGAGAGAGAGAGAGAGAGAGAGAGAGGGGTGGAGAGAGAGGAAGAGAGAGGGGGGAGAGAGAGAGAGGGCAGAGAGAGGGGGGAGAGAGCGAGAGAGAGAGAGAGAGAGAGAGAAAGAGAGAGGCACATTTTGAGGAAGGTTAAGGGACACCTCTTCTGACTGGGATAAAGCCTCAGGAGAAACGATAGGCTTCCTGATGCCCTTTAAATCCTTTTAGGAAGCAGAGATTACCTTTTCTATAGCATGCCTACACACACACACTCACACACACACACACACACACACACACACACACACACACACACACACACACACACCAACAAACACACAGATAAATGCTCCTTCAGACATAATGTAATGCATGTACCAACCCCCACACATACACACAACCCCCTAAACACACACACACAAATACACACAAACAAATTCTCAGCTCGAAGCAAGTGTTTTGGAGAGTGACAGAGGCATGTTCGCTGACGAAGCAGAGAAAGGGGTGGATGAGTCAGTGTATTGAGGTAGGTAGGCCGAGGCAGTAGCAGCCTCGTTCAAATGGCCATCCAGCACCATGCCCTGTCCTAGACCAATGACTCACATTCTCTATCTATTCCTCTTCATCACAAAGGACTCAGGGCTCTACATAGCTCTCCATCAATCACCACAAGTTCAGTTTCTGCATGAAGCATCATTGAATGGATTAGATTAGATGCGTGTCTAGTTGGGTTGAATTGAATTTCAGCTCAGTTAAAATCAAGTTCGGGATCTAAATTCAACACATACATTTGGAAATTAGGACTTTTTTAATTAGTACGTTTTTCAGTGAACCTTTTCAATTCATGATCAGAATGTCCTATTCATTCTCTGAATCGACTGAGTAAAGAGGAATTTACATCGTCCCTGAAACATGGTGGTATTTCATCTCTGTCAGTTGTACTCTGCACCTGGGTTGTATTCATTAATGCACACTGTCGCAAAGCGTTTTGCATTGGAAATGAAAATGAGCATTTCTTATTGGACAAGTCCAGCTAGTCCCTCACCGTTTCAGTCATTTTTCTTCAGTTTGATGCCTAATGAACACAACCCTGATTTTGAGCAAAACAAGTCTATCGGTTGGAGTGTTAAGACACACTGGTCCAGAGACACCTAATCTTTGGCTCATTAGGCCATCTAAGAACATAATCACCTACGATGCTGAGCTCTCCAATGTAATTACAGATTTCCCCGTGGCTTGGACTTCATTCGAGGAATATGCTGCTCCTCATTAATGCCAAAGATGGGCCAGTATGACAACACAGAGATACATACCAGTCTATGATATTGGTAGCATTTTATATTGAGTTGACCTGTGTAGTCCAGAGGTAGTAACCTGAGGGCCTTTGCTCCTCTAGGAGCTAAAATTAATAAGTCAAGTAAGTTACACCTGTGTAGTAATGAGGTACTTACACTAATAACAACCTTAGGGTATATAGTAGTACTGTAGTAACTAGCCGTCTGAGCCAAACCAAAGATACATGAGGCTCTATGATGTGTGTTTTACCTCTATTTTAACTGTCTTTTGAAGTACTGTATGACATCACAGTGTATGTGTTTCTACATACAATAATGTAAAAAAACGGAAATTATGAACTACATGAGAAAATGTAGAGCCTCTTCAGTGACGTCATTACATAATGGAGTGGCGGCCATCTTGTGGGGCGGGGTGGGGAAGTCATGGTTCTCACCATGTGACAAGGAGTTAGACATGCTCTGCCTAATCTCCTCGGAAAACCTTAAATAGACCAGTAGCATGATTACTAAGGGAACTGGCCACGCGCTACGCCGCTAAACGCTAAACTACCAACAAGCATAGTGAAGCTAGCATGTGAAGCTACGCCAAACCTGCCATCGTGTGAGCTCAACTATACCTGCTTTCAACGCTTTCACTGTTTTCACTCAAGGTTGAACATCTTACACTGTGAGTAGCTCCTAAGCCTAGCCAGACATGGCCGATGACAAACACAATCTAGTCACAGTTCAACCAAACTTGCTATTATAATTGAGAAACCAACTCTACCCTTTTTACACCCAATTGACATGTCAACCAAAATATACAGCAGTTACACAGTAGATATGCACTAAGTAGGCTACTGCTGTATTTTCCCATCAGAATACTGTTTCACAGTGTGCTTTGATTCGCTGAACCGTATGAAATTCTGTGCAGTGCTTCTGTTAATATAATTTGATGACCCCATAAACCATCTGTTCTTGGGAACTGAATGTAAGGGATGTATGTTAATTGAGCGTCAATGGGACATGCTAGTAATAACACTATATAACCCCCTAGGAAGATGAGCATTCAAAGAGTATTTGGTTCCTATTACCGCACACACACATCTACACACACACACACACACACACACACACCCCTCTCTTAGATTACAGAGTCAAATGGCAGCCTTTTAAAGTGTAAATGAGATGGCCATTTAAATGGCATTCATTTAGCCTTATTAACCTAGTCCCACAATGGCTTAGAGATAGACTACAGTGCGGCTAGGAGGCTAGGGAAGGCTAAACGCATCAACCACTCCCTCAAAGGTCAAACACGTGCAGCAGTCATAACAACCAAGACCGTGACTAAGGTTCAGGTTCACTTATGGTAAGAGGGGTACCTTTAAACATGCTGTCAATATTTGTGTCCTGATTACAATTAGAAGATATAGAAACCACATTTACTGCAGACGTGGTTTTTATATAGCCAGTGAGGGACTGAACAACATGGAGTGTGCAAAAGTCTGCAGCTCTAACCCACATACTGTAACCTTGGAAACCGCTGAAATCCGTGTATGGTTTGTGTACCTTTCAGCAGAACTGTTTATATTATATATATATATATATATATATATATTAGCAGTACTGAAAGCTGTACTGGTCTCACCTCAGCAAGATGAGGTGTGGGGTTGAAGCCACACTGGTTACACACACTCTTCTTGCACTCGGTGCAGTTGCTGTAGTTAGGCGTGTCGGCTGATCCAATGTTCAGCTCCACCTTACACAGAGGGCAGTTTCCCTGGGCCCCCGAGCCTGGGGCCGAAGTAGGCGGCTCCCCCGCTTTCAGAGGCTCCGCGGAGGGCTCTGCTTCTATGGACTTCTGGTCCTTCAGTAGGGAGGTGGCGCGTTTGGGGGCCTTCTTGGAGGCGGGCGGGGTGTCAGGGCTGTCTGAGTCGGGGGGAGACCCAGGAGCGGAGAAGGGGGAGTCCGGGGGAGAACCGGGGGGAGAACCGGGGGTGGAGAAGGGGGAGTCTGGGGGAGAGCCTACAGGAGAACCGGCAGGAGAATCAGCAGGAGAACCAGCTTTCTCATCCACAGAGTCCACAGAGTCGGTGGTCATGAGGTTGGTGGCAGAGCTCAAGATGGATGAGCCAAACCCGAACATCTGGGAGGCAGCCGCCGGGGGCTTGGCTGTCTCTGTAAAACCACCGAACCCGCTGAACATCTTTCCTGTCACCGACTCTGCTGTTCTTTGGGGACCAGCGGCGGCTTTGGCCCGATCAGGTTTGGCTGATCCGGTGAACCCACCAAAGCCGCTGAACATTGTTCCTGTGATGGACTCGGCCGCCTGGGAGGCAGCGGCTGGAGGCTTGGCCACGTCGGTGAGGCCCCCTAGGCTGATGCCACCCAGGCCCCCGAAGAAGCTGGACTCCTGTTTACCTTTGGCCGGGGAGGGCTGGGGGCTGCCTTTCGGGGAAGATGGGCCTGGGGATTTCTGTTTGGGCGTGGTTGGAGGGGTTAAGCCTTTGTCGGAGATGCTCTGCTGCTTAATCAGTAGATTGGGCTTCTTGCCATCTTTGCCAGGGTCTTTCCTCGATGGGGAAGGAGGGGCAGAGCCCCTGCCCATCATAGGAGGGTCATCCATACCCCCCATAGCCCTCTGCATCTGGCAGTTGAGACACAGCCACTCCTTGCCCTGAAAAGAGCCAAAACATGGTCAGACACACATACGACACACACATGTACTGTATGGCCGGGACGGTACCAGTATCGTGATACTCGTTAGTAACGTGGCAAGGACACAAAACACAAAGCAGATTTAACTTCTTTAGGAAAACTGCCCTAATGTTGGAAACACACATCATTATGTTGTCATCCAGAGTCACATTTATTTATTTTCCAAGCTATAGAACACAATATTTTACATTACATTACATTTTAAAGGACCAAAGAGTTTGTTCTGCTTTGTGTTTTCATTTTTGCCATGGAAAAAATATTGCAATACTGGTATCGTCACAAACACAATCCTTTCCATTAAGTGAAACATCACAGTAATTCAGATAAAAAACAACTTAATTAGCCCATTTCAATAACATGCATGATTCTCTTTTCACAATGCAAATTCTTTTTCGCTCAGTTCATGAGGGATTTAAAAGCAAATTGAATGATTTACACTAATTACGTGTTGCAGTAATGGGAGCTGTATTTGCAGATCGTGGCAATTTGCAGAACAACCATTAAATGTACTATTCGACAAGGCTGCCTTACAAATGGAATATTGCTCTAATTTGAGGCAAAAATCCTATCATTACAAAACGTTTTATTCGTTTTATGTTTATTGGTTGATTCATTCTTGAAATACAGGAAAGCTACTATGATGAAACTAGATGCATTTTATGGTTACATAGAAATAGGAAACTACTGTATTGATGCATCTGTAACACATAATACATATATCATTAGATAATCATATTGATTTCCTATATGATACAGTGAGGGAAAAAAGTATTTGATCCCCTGCTGATTTTGTATGTTTGCCCACTGACAAAGAAATGATCAGTCCATAATTGTAATGGTAGGTTTATTTGAACAGTGAGAGACAGAATAACAACAAAAAAATCCAGAAAGACGCATGTCAGAAATGTTATAAATTGATTTGCATTTCAATGAGGGAAATAAGTATTTGACCCCTTCTCAATCAGAAAGATTTCTGGCTCCCAGGTGTCTTTTATACAGGTAACGAACTGAGATTAGGAGCACACTCTTAAAGGGAGTGCTCCTAATCTCAGTTTGTTACCTGTATAAAAGACACCTGTCCACAGAAGCAATCAATCAATCAGATTCCAAACTCTCCACCATGGCCAAGACCAAAGAGCTCTCCAAGGATGTCAGGGACAAGATTGTAGACCTACACAAGGGTGGAATGGGCTACAAGACCATCGCCAAGCAGCTTGGTGAGAAGGTGACAACAGTTTGTGCGATTATTCGCAAATGGAAGAAACACAAAATAACTGTCAATCTCCCTCGGCCTGGGGCTCCATGCAAGATCTCACCTCGTGGAGTTGCAATGATCATGAGAACGGTGAGGAATCAGCCCAGAACTACACGGGAGGATCTTGTCAATGATCTAAAGGCACCTGGGACCATAGTCACCAAGAAAACAATTGGTAACACACTACGCCGTGAAGGACTGAAATCTTGCAGCGCCTGCAAGGTCCCCCTGCTCAAGAAAGCACATATACAGGGCCATCTGAAGTTTGCCAATGAACATCTGAATGATTCAGAGGTGAACTGGGTGAAAGTGTTGTGGTCAGATGAGACCAAAATCGAGCTCTTTGACATCAACTCAACTCGCCTTGTTTGGAGTAGGAGGAATGCTGCCTATGACCCCAAGAACACCATCCTCACCGTCAAACATGGAGGTGGAAACATTATGCTTTGGGGGTGTTTTTCTGCTAAGGGGACAGGACAACTTCACCGCATCAAAGGGACGATGGACGGGGCCATGTACTGTCAAATCTTGGGTGAGAACCTCCTTCCCTCAGCCAGGGCATTGAAAATGGGTCGTGGGTGGGTATTCCAGCATGACAATGACCCAAAACACACGGCCAAGGCAACAAAGGAGTGGCTCAAGAAGAAGCACATTAAGGTCCTGGAGAGGTCTCCAGACCTTAATCCCATAGAAAATCTGTGGAGGGAGCTGAAGGTTCGAGTTGCCAAACGTCAGGCTCGAAACCTTAATGACTTGGAGAAGATCTGCAAAGAGGAGTGGGACAAAATCCCTCCTGAGATGTGTGCAAACCTGGTGGCCAACTACAAGAAACATCTGACCTCTGTGATTGCCAACAAAGGTTTTGCCACCAAGTACTATGTCATGATTTGCAGAGGGGTCAAATACTTATTTCCCTGATTAAAATGCAAATCAATTTATAAATTTTTTGACATGCGTTTTTCTGGATTATTTTGTTGTTATTCTGTCTCTCACTGTTCAAATAAACGTACCATTAAAATTATAGACTGATCATGTCTTTGTCAGTGGGCAAACTTACAAAATCAGCAGGGGATCAAATACCTTTTTCCCTCACTGTATATACTGTATGTTTGTTCTAAAGATGGAGTTTCGTCACATATCCTGACAACTAGCTTAGCTACAGTGTAATGTTATTGTTCACTACACAGGACATGGCCTTAGTTACCATTGTCTACAACAAGAAACACTACAAAAGAGGCCATTGACATGGTTATTATCAGTGTCTTGCATGGAACAAACCTTTCCTTTCTCTTTGTGAATACCATGCTCAATAACTCTACCCCCAGAAAAAGAGATGCTAAATATGACCACTTTGTGATTCTGCTGTTTTATCTGATAACGTGTGCAAATATATCATTTTTTGAGAGGGGCACTGATGACCAAATCTTTGAATTAATTATTTGTATTGTATTTTCTGTACTTCTTGCATATATAAATAAATACCTTATATGGATAAATATCTTGTTATAGTATATTTATTCCAACAACAGATCACATGCCCTCCTCAGTTTTAACAGGCATGATGACTCGGAGTGTATGGCTCGTGTGGTTGGCTACTGAAACCTGCCAGTGGCCGGTGGTTGGAGGCTTCCTGTGCCCATGACATGAGTCACCTTGATAGCCTCCCCAGGGTCCATATGGCCCCTCTGTTCGTCAAGCTGTTTGGCGTTAATGTCAGGGGCATTTCCAGAGCTAAGCCTGACTGCATGAGCATCTCTGGAATGCTAAATGCTCAAAGGCTAATGCTAAAAATGCTAACGCTTAAAAACTATCGCTAGGCTTCTTTAGATATCAGACTTAACTGTTGTTTTTATTGATTCACCTTTTTTATGCATATTTTGTACTGTAATGGTGTACTGTGCCTCTCTTGTGAAGTTGAAATGTCATTCAGACATGCTGGGCAAATTTTGTACTAATGAACAAAAACTGTTGTACTAATGAAAACTGAAATTAGTTCAAGGCATGCGTTGATTGTTGTATCTATGGAACTACACTGGCAGCAGACATTTAATTGAATGAATTATCTGATACATCTGCGACAAAATGTGAATTTCTACTATTATTACAGATGTGTTATTAAATTAGATAAACCACCATATAATAGACCCTCAGTCAGTACAAACTACAGTACAAAATACCTTTTAAGGAGAGAGAGAGAGAGAGAGAGAGAGAGAGAGAGAGAGAGAGAGAGAGAGAGAGAGAGAGAGAGAGAGAGAGAGAGAGAGAGAGAGAGAGCGAGGGAGAGAGAGAGGGCCTTCTCTTACCGCCGAGTCTGGGGGGCTGAATCCACACAGGCTGCACACCCGGTTCTTACACATGGTACAGTTGCTGTAGTTGGGCGGCTCCTTGGAGCCCACGTTGAGCTGGGTACTCTTGCACAGCGGACACAGCCCACCTCCAGGTGGTTTACCAGGGCCTTGTGGACCAGGGGGACCCCCAGCTTTAGCCGGCCCACCTGGCTGTGCACCGGGGCCAGTGGGCCCTTGCTGCCCAGGTGGCCCTTGACCGGGGCCAGGGGGTCTGGGCCCTTGCTGCCCAGGGGGCCCTTGTCCGGGGCCAGGTGGTCTGGGTCCATGCTGCCCAGGTGGGCCTTGACCAGGGGGTCTGGGCCCTTGCTGCCCAGGGGGTCCTTGACCAGGGGGTCTGGGCCCTTGCTGCCCAGGGGGCCCTTGTCCGGGGCCAAAGGGTCTGGGTCCTTGTCCGGGGACAGGGGGTCTGGGACCTTGCTGACCAGGGGGGCCTTGACCAGCGGGTCTGGGTCCTTGCTGTTCGAGGGGTCTGGGCCCTTGTCCGGGACCAGGAGTTCTGGGCCCTTGCTGCCCAGGGGGCCCTTGACCAGCGGGTCTGGGCCCTTGTGCGGGGCCAGGGGGTCTTGGCCCCCCCTGCTGGGGGCCCTTTTTGCCCGGCCCTGGGGGCCCACCTTGGGGCTTCTCTCCAGGCTTCTCTTCCTTGTCAAACAGGCCAAACGAGGGCATGTTGACCCCGGAGCCCATGGAGGTGACCTCTGAGGACATGGACGACATTCCAGAGGACACCTGGGACGTCATGGACGAGACAGCGTTCAGCGGGTTGGCCCCACTCAGGAAGCTGGAGCCAAACATGCCTGTTTTCTTCTCCAGGTCCTTGGGCTCCTGCCTGAATCGGGACTCTAAAAGGCTGAAGGACGAGGGACTGCGGCCAGGGGCCGGCCTGCCAGTGGGGCCCTCTCCAAACGCGTCTACGGTGCGACTCTTGCTAAGCCGACCAGAGGGTCCGACTCCTGGCTGCTGGGGCCGCTGTTGAGCATCTGCCTCCAAGGGCCTGAGAGAGAGAGAGAGAGAGAGAGAGAGAGAGAGAGAGAGAGAGAGAGAGAGAGAGAGAGAGAGAGAGAGAGAGAGAGAGAGAGAGAGGAGTCATGAGGCAGTACAAATTGAAATAGATGGGGTGTATGAATCTCAATACTCTGTGACTTCCTTTCTTCCCTCCTTTCCTTAATCTGTCCTGATATGACAGAGCTGGATAGGTGAAAGCAAATTGCCACAGGCTTCCTCCATGTTGCTGCATTTTCAGATCAGCGAAGATGAAGGAGAGGAGAGAAGAAGGGGAAGCTACTTAAGACTATCAAATGGCTGATATTTGCCAGTTGCCACACTTAC